ACAATAACTATTTTATCTAAATGAACTTTGCAAAGTTCAGCATAATGCCATCAGTTTCAATCTCTCTCAAGTTTTCCATTAATTTGAAGCATATCACACTTCTTCAGACTCCCTAGTAAAACATAAGCCAATGTTCTCCAGCACTCCAGCAAAATCTAATTGGGCTGAGCTAATTTCCTCAGCCCAAACACAAAATTATGTATGATAAAAAAAAATTTTGCTTATAATTTTATATTGAATTATTGGAATATACAGGGAAAAAAATGCATTAAAATTGCTCACTCTGAAAACAACATAATAATTTCCTCAGGATGTGTGTATATTCACTACTGTCTGCAGCACGTATCTTTTCTAATTTTTCAAACAGAAATCAAACAAAGGTCCCTGAAGAACAGTAAAACACCAAGGAACTCAGTGTTATAACAGGCTTAAGTGAGTGACGTAGAATCCTTCTACGTAACTTCCAAGTTCTTTCAGTAGTGTATGAAAGACAGAGCATGTGCTTTCCTGCAAAGTACACCAGTAAGATTTTCATCCTAAGGTAACTTAATTTGAAAACATTGCTGAGAACCACATAGATAAGCAGAAAGAGCTTATTATTTTATTTTGCGCTACACTCCTTAAATGCTCATCATGAGCTAAGAACACTGGCAACTAAAAATAGCATGACATTACCTTGACAAAACAATCTTCCTGATGACAAATCAATTCTAGGGAAATGACAGCACAACAATGCCTGGAACCAAATTTTTAATTAAATAAAAAGGATTTAATTTTTAATAAAATTGATTTTGTGTGAGACTACTAACATTCTAAAGAGAAGAATATGAGTATACTGTTTCAACTCACTTTTTTGGACAGATTTTAATAAGCCACTTCAGTTTTATCTCCTATACTGATTGCATTATGAAAGGATTTGGTTGAACTGCATACCTCATTTACTAAAGTTGATAATCTTGATAACTTCTCTTCTTCATAATGATATCTTTCTATTACTTCTTCTTGCATTGTTACCTAATAGTTTTTATCAAAGTCTATCTAGGAGTAATAAGTTCTTGTAGCCACTTACCCCAGAAAAGAGAAAATAATTGATGACATGAAAATGCTAGCAAGCCATATGAATACTACTCCCTTTTCCGTGTTGACATTGAATTAACAAATGGAAATTAATAATGTTAGTGAGAAGTATATCAGCAGCATAAAACCTTTTCATTTATAACATACAAATAAACACTGGAGTAGATTCTTTGGAGAGATGGTGAACCTCAGAATTTTAAAATAGTAAATACTTTTCAGCCTGGCTTATATGGACCACTTACAGTCCTTGTACTTGCATGACTCAATAGAATTATCTATACATGAGATATTTCTATAATTTCTTCCTGTTATGGGAAAGGGCCATTGAGCTCTTAGATAAGTGTCTGTTTGGACAAATTTATCTATAGCTACTCTTACCTTGCAGCAAGAATGAATTCCTGAGATGCCTTGCTCTATTCCTGAGAATCTTTGCTCTATTTGCAGCTGCCATCTCTTAAAATGACCCAACAGTACTTTTCTCATTTGCTGTCCACTTCCCTCAGACTGTTTTCAACAGCCCACCATCACCAGGCATTTCCAGCTCCAACTACTCCTCCATCTCAGTACCTTTTATTATTCTCTTATACTTTTAAAATTCTGCCTCATCTGACTGAATTATTTGAAAAAATATATACAATGAACAAAAATTAGGATGTTCTCCATATATCCTCCTTGATTAAAAATTAATATTTTTTCTTTTTTTATATTAGCAAAGAAAGGAGTTCAAATTTTCTGGTTGATATTCATAAGCGATTACTACAGATGATTTTGAATGTACTTCCCATACATTTCTTGCTAGGTTACATACTGTAACTTAAAAAAAGGTAATGTAGTCCTATGAAACTTAGTCTTATTTCAACCATTCTAACTGAAAATTACAAGAGTGCTGGAGTACAATAAAAGTATTGTACTGGAGTACAACAAACTGGAATGTAAAAATACTTGCAGTACATTCATCTGGTCTGTCTTTTCTATAATTCCTTCCTGTGATATTGTGATGAAAAATATCTGGCTACTCTCTAGTTTTACTGAGTAGAAACAAACTTCCAGCCTAAGGTATCTTATTTGACTTTAACAACAGCGAATAACGTAAATGAGCAATGGAAGTTAGCAGTATTGCAAAGTGGTAGAAAATTGACATTACATTACTGGATTAGCTTCTTTGGTCAAGCTATCAAATAGCATGATCCAAATTATTAGTAATCCTAAAAAACCTAATCACATTGTGTTAATAGTACTTCTAAAGTAGTCCTAATACACAGTTACACCAGGCAGGATATATTTTTTTCCTATTGCAAATGAAGGCGTAACATGAAGCATGCAAATTCCTTCCAAAAATCTACACAAAATTAGAAGATACATTAGTCCCAAACAAATTTTCCTAATTTCAGACTCTCCCTCTTGTTCCTCTTGAGGACCTCTTAGCCTTACCTACCCCATCAGTATAAAGGTTCTTTAAAGCACCTTGTTCAATTAATACCTAAGGTACATTTAGGGCACCTCAGGTCATGCAGCTCAGCTTCTCCTCTTCCAAACTATGAGATGTGTAGTATATCCTTGTCACCTGCCACAAGGAAGCCTGTATTGGTATAATTGTTACACTTTTATAGCAATACTAAACAGGTGACTCAAACTAAAAAAGCTTTCAAGTACCAAGAGTAATTATCTAAAATCTTTGATTATACCCTGAGCATCACAGTATAGCTGTTTAAATTCCTCTACCTTGAACCAGCGCTGGGCATAATCAAGGCAATATTCACTCCTAGCATACATTAACAGTTACGACAATCTCTTCTATCAGTTCCTTTTTTTTTTTTTTTTTTTTTTTTTACCTAGACCCTTGAAGAGTCTTAATTGCATGTACCTTTAATGAGTGAAACGCATTGCACAGTTCCTCTAGCCATAAACTCCTTTGCCATGGTTTAATTTCCACATCTATATAACTGCAATCTAGTAAATGTTCCTTCTTAGAAAAGCTTGCGTCACAGCTGTTGCAGCTGTGGGACCTGATTATTTACCATCACTGGCTTAAGTACAATTACCATATTCTTAAGGCAAAGTGCTGACTCTATGAAAGACTCACTGAATAGCCACATTTACATAGCAAAATAATAGAAGTTTAAACAAAGAAGAAATTAAGAAAATACTTAAATTTTTCCAAAAAAATTAGCCTGAAGCCTGAGTGACACCCGAGTCTCACCCAGTGGGTTTTCTAAATGGGAAAGGCAAGGCTTCTTTTAGGCAGATTAATAACACTATGCCTTTCTGTTTCATCAGTAACTTTATCTCCATTAACAAATGGAATAAGAAAATGCCTACAGCTGTAGCAGTTGCCAAATCAATTATTAGAATCCTGATATAAAAGTGCTTTACATCAATATAGAAGAGTATTATAGTTGAGTTAAAAATTAATATTTTGTAGCTTTTTTTTCCTAACACCTCTCAAAATGGTTTGCAGTGTAACATCCATCACCTTTGTATCCTGGTTGCTGTGCACGAGTGAAGGGGTGTGTAGTTGAACATACACACTGAGCTACTGGAAAGTCAAAAGGACTGGTAGAATAAATCACATTTTTACTGAGAGCAGAAAGAATTTCATGTTACTGTATAGATGTATGTCTGACCTGGTTTAGATTACTAAAAGAATTATCCTCCATTGTAAGAGGGGAAAAAAAAAGTTACTGCCATTATATGGAATAATATAAAAAAATAAAATCCTAATTAATCCCGAATACCACACATTCTTAGGGAAGCACAGTATCAGCCCGTGGGTGGCATGACAACAGTTGTAGAAATTACTTCCCTTCTGTATTACTTTGAATATATTGTATGCTTAAGTTACCTGCCTAAACGTACACACTAAGAGCATATTTTCACTTTATATATACCTGTTTTCTATGACAATTTTTCAAATATCATAACCTTCTACATTATAGGCCCTCAAAGTTAAATTTATACAAACAATAGTACTTATTAATTAAAATGAATATTAATTTGAAATCTGTACATTACTTCTGACACCACAGAATGCACGAAGTGTAATTTCTGAGCATATACTATACGTTTGCAGTTATCAACAGCACTAGAAAAATTGTGTTCAGACACAATGCTTCAAGTCACTTCCCAGACTGCTCCATCATTTTATCAGGAAAAAATAGGAATAGAATTCAATCACATCTTATACCGTGCTGATGAAAGGTTCATTTAAATACATTTAAGAACATATAAATAACAGGTTGGTTAGAATGGTCACAATACCATTTGTAAAGGAAATTTCAAGCAGGATTACAACTCTTTATATGGAATGTTACCATGTGTTTTGTACATCAATAAATTTTATATTATTTTACAGCTTATTTATAATTTAAAAATACAAAAGCCTATTGCAGTTAAAACGCTTCCTAAATTCTGAATTTCAATAAATTATTACATACAATCTTACCTCTTTTCACTGTCACCTGCTGCTGAAGTTGACAGCAGGGAATTGTCTTTCTGATACTACTGGCACCACTCAGTCCTTGTCACAACAGGGTAGCTGGTACATCCTTTCCTCCTCACATCTTGACCACACCAGAATTATGTCTCTTGTCAATAAACTACTGTAATATGCTGGAAATTTTAAATACCTGATACATATTATGTCCTATTCATTCTATAATAGCTTAACTAAAGTTAGTGATAAACATAATTTACTTTTGCCCAAACTTTCTATTGTTATGGTTTTGTCTTTGTTTTTAATACCATTTCATGCACTTAATGCTCTAGACTGCATTCAGTGTATACATCATTATGGTAAGCACATTGGCATGCACAGGCAATACAATAATAGATTATAATTAATCCCATAGACAACCAAAAAAGGTGAAGTTGCATCATGCAATGAAACCAGCTTGGCCTGGGCTGCCATGCAGAAAAAAACCTACATCAATGAGTCTGCTGTACGGCTCCTAGGTAAGAGTTGATATGAAAGAGGTGAGTTATTTCAGCAATGACGTCACAGGCTGAGAATGTTTATACTACTGTAAACAAAATACTGTACATAGCACCAGTATTACTTGAGAATGGGGAATAAGATGCTTGGAAAAGAGGACAAAAAGGATGAGAAAGAAGAAGAGGGAGGAGAAATCATAAATTACAGTAACCAGTCTGAAATCCAATCGGTTCTTTTAAATAAGCATTTTGTTATTTTGTTCAAAATAATTTCACTTGAGCTTTCAAAGCAAACCTGAATTTTTCAATGTATTTTGAAGAAAAAAGGATGAAATAATGAGATACAGAGCAACTTCAAAATGTCCAACGTTCAGTAATAGATGAATAACTAAAGATCATAAACACACAGATATGCAGAGGTGAATTTTTCAATGCAGTGCACAGGATCCAAAGAACACAAGTTTCACTGATTCGAATGCATAATCAACCAAACTAAATGAATATGGACAATTAAGGGATGCATTGATATGAGTGATTTATTTGGTCATCTTTTGCTGCTTTTCTAGTAAAAGATAGCTCTGCTGAATAAAGCAGGGTTTTTTCAGAACTTGTGTTGAATTGCCTTTACCTTACTCACCTTCACAGTTCCACTGAACATAACAACATGACTGGAATTACAGAGTGACCACCTAGCCTGTTCTAAATCATGTACATTGTGCACAGTACTGCATAAACTGATTCCAGAGAGTTCAGAAAGACCTAATTGAGCAGATAATTTATTTTATTGTAGCATTCACTTGAGGTGTGCTACCCTGTGATGATAAATGTACAATTTTGTAACATTGTAGCATATTATTATGAGTGTTCCATTACAAAAGGATTTGTTACTAGTTTATCAACAGTTTTCAATATTGTTTTCAAGAAGTTTTTCTTAATTACCCTTAAATGTATATTATCACTCTATTTTTAGCACAGTTCCCAAATATATAGACTAGTTATGCAGGGTAGCAATTCACACAACATCAAAAATAGCTTTAACAAGAAAATGAAATTTAACTTACTGTATAAGGTTTTCTAAAAAATCTATTGTTCCATTTGCATTACAATTACTTTGGGTATCTTTGTTTTTATACACTAGTAGCTTTGGGAAACATTATTCTTTTTACTTAGTTAATTGTCACAGAAACTTAGTTTAAAATCAAATAATTGACAGTAGAAGCAATTTTCCGGCCTCTTGAAATGTCTTAGAATATTTTCAGAAAAACTGGTCAACATATTTGGAATTTGAAAGGTAAAAAAAAAAATTCTAAATTGTTCATTCCAGATATAAAACCTCCAATTGTATTACTCTTACATAGCAAAATTCACATCCTTTTTCCAGACAAACACTTCTAACCTTTTCAAAGGGATAGAACTTGCAGACAAGACTCATACCACTTTTGGCCACTTTGTGCTATTTAACAAGGCTAGCAGAATCTTTCATTAATTGCATATTAAACATGTGAATATTTTCTTGGGTGTACAGATCTGCACTTACAAACTGCTGCACTGTGCATGCAAATGTTATCGCCTGAGAAGAAGGTTACTTTGTCAAGAGCAATTCGAGCGCTGCTGACAAAGCCAGAAACCGAGTAAACTGTTTAAGGCAAGCACATGAGGAGCCCAAAAATTTTGGAACTTGCAGACTTCCAAAGTGTACCATTCAAATAGCCACTGTACAGTCTGTAATTGGACATCTGGCATATACAGTATGTACTACAACATATATGTATGTATCACAGCACAAATGATACATACTATATATGTATACTTTCCCATTGTTGTGAAAATAGAAGAAACTTTCTTATCTTACTTGACAAGCATTGACTGAGCAAAAGATGAAAAGCAGTCCTTAAATTTATTCTTAATAAAATCAATACACCAGTAATCTTTAATTTAGTTAGGGCAGAGAAGTCCTCAAGATTCACACAGAACACAAAGCTGGTCTGAGTTCTACAATCTCATCACCATGAATATAACATAATAAACACAAAAGGAGAAGAATCATATCCTTGGTATCTGCTACTAATGCAGCAGAGCATGATAGAAGCTACAAATGTTATGATCTCAAATGATCAGGTTAGATTACAGTTTACCATACATTTACTCAACAGTTTATTGTCCTACAAACAGTGATTTTTTTTTAATTTTTTTTTTCTGTAAAACCAGGTAATTCGGAGATTCAGCTATTAGGTTTAAGAAGAGATTCAGTCATCTGTTTTCAGATTGTAGCTAGAAACCAACCTCATGTTAGAAAAGTTTCCCTGCTTTAGCTGGAGAGAAGCTATCAAACCCATTTAATACTTAAAAATCTAAACTAGCAGGAGTTTCTCTCTTTTGGTGTAGCCAAAAGCCATAATGAACTTTACACAGTTCATACAAGTCTGTTGCAAATTATAAAACCTAAGCATTATGAAGGGTACTGTACTATTTAAAATAAATAACCAGAACTATCAAATGTAACTAAATTTCTGGGATATTTAGCCCTGGAGTCAATTCCTTCCAACCCCTGAACATAACACTCCTTTTGGTAAACCATTTGCTGGCAAAATTTAGTTTGACAAAACGGGGGATACAATTCCTAGTTCTAGTTTTCTGTTTTGAGGACTTGGTTGCACTTAACTAGGTAAACGAGTTAATAAGTAAAAGACTTATGAACTATCTGACTGAAGATGGACATAAGCAAGGTCCTGGAGCAGCAGGGTGACTGGATTCATACCCACTAACCCGTGGTGATTTGAACAATTACATTGCCACTGCATTTTAGCTACAAAACCAAATGCATTGAAGTTTCAAATTTTCCCTAGGCAGCAAAGCTTATTCAACTTGCATCAGACATTCATGTTTATGACGGGGAGCTGGTTCAGAGAAAAAGCTTGATTTCCTACGAACTAAGAGGGCCTTGAGCCAAGCCTTGAGATATCATGCTAAGAGTACACAAAGCATGTACTTGTCATCCTTTCACATCCAGGCTAAAACAACACCAGCCTACCCTGATTACTGTAACTGTTTATTTCACTTCTGTCCCCCACCACAAGTAAGCACATTACTTTTCCTTTCCAGAATTCACTCACTTCCCAGCCAGTTTCTCCCACATAAAGAAAAAAAATCAAACCAAACAAAACAAAACCAAACTATCTCCCTAATGCTCTAATTCTTCCTATAAACACAATTTAAGAACCACACAACAGTTTGCCCCTGTCTGCCAAGGATTTTCTCTCTAATGTGATTCTGTACTTGCAGCAGTTCCATGTAAGTTCATTAGCACAACAAATATTACTAGTTGCTATGTTAAAGCACAGGCACAAATCTCACAAATCACTGGCATTGCAGAATGTGTGTTTGGGATAAGATGCACAACCACTGCTCATGTGTTGATTTTATAATTTATGAAATATGTTACAGAAAAAAAATAGAAGATGAAAAGTTTTCCCAAAGTAAACATTGCAAAAGGGAATTTAAAAAATAAGTTAAAGCCTTTCACATCCTCTGGAAGAACCGTATCTACACAAACACTTGGCAAGGGTGGAGCACTGATATAACAAGGGAGGTTTGACACACTAAAGAGAAAAGGACACAGCAAGTGATATCAGAATCCAACAGCTTAACATCCAAACCTGGGTCTACCCAAGGGCTTAGGGAAGTTCAGAAAAAAAAAGGTAAGAATTGCAAGCTATAACTTACTCACACTTAGTTTCTGCTAGAATATGGTTTAGTAGGATTCTATGTTTCTCACTGAAAATACTATAAAGCATGTTACTAAATACTCAAAACACCTTTAATCCCAAAGGGTTTGTCTATACAGAAAGAAGAAGAAACTATGCTAAATACATCGGAGAACTCGGAAGAGCAGTGTCCCAGGACTTTTGTGGATAATGCACTAAGGACTGAAATGTAAGACTTACTAATCTATCTCTGATGAGGGCTGTAAAAAACATGTTTCTATTCAATAACTGCCTATTAGAGAAGTTCACTGCAATGACCATTAGCCAGGAAATGAACTGGCATAATGGAAGATACATCAGGATTGTGCTTTATGGAACAGTTGGATGCTTAAGTATCCTGTCTAATGTTAGATTAGATCGCAGACTTCAAGTTACAAACCACATATGGCAAACTTATGCACAGTATTATTGATGAGCATCCCTACCACCTTATTACTACTGCAAAGTCCTAGACATACTGCTCTGTGTATAAAGCAAGAATCTTTGTGGAAACCTGTGTAGGTAGATGTCGTCTTTATGAGACTGCAAAAAGATGTTTTTTAATGAAGCTGTCAAACTGACAGGCCAAACTTTGTTACCCACAGAACCATCAACCCATCACTACTGTAAATCTTGATGCACACTGAAGAAAAGTAACTAGACTGGCCTTAGAAATTCTTGGCAGGCTTCTCTGCATTCTTGCTGTTTGTTCAGATGAACAGAGACTGCTAGACCGAAGATTCTGTAGTTCATTCAACCTCTTCCAGCAGCTTGCCAAGGCCTTAAGATGGATTATATTTATCATACACAATGGCAGTAAGATACTGGATGTTATAAATTATTGTTACTTCACTGACAGACATGCTTTTACACAAAGTCTGATGGTGAATTATGGCCTTATGAAAAACAAGTTGAAAGACGCATTCCTGACTGATCATGACACATCAGTTCCACACCAGTTAAATACCTACATATATGGGAAAACCTCTGTGCTTCCAGAAGTATCAAACTTTGCAGTTTTATCCATTTTGAAAAACTATAAAAGCTCTATTCAAGAAGTGTATTTGTTTTCTATGTATATTTCTTCCCTTTCCCAAAAGGTGTTATTATTAATGTAGTTATAGACAAAAAAAATCTAACTATCTTAAACACCCTCCTTTGACCAATTTTTGAGAAAAACTGAGACAGGTTTTCATGCCAGCATTACCATTCTGTATGTACATCAAGGACCACTACAGTTAAAAATGTTTAACAATTTAATACTATATAACTGT